CTACTCAGATCATTTACCTAAGCTGTGCTTTGTCAAAACGAAGTCTGTGTCCATTACACTGACATTCTGTTCTGCAGTTGTTATTTACTTGTATTTTATAATTTGACTTTACATACTGCTGGGTGGTTTGTAAAGTTTATTATTATCATTATGCTATATTTTCAAAAATATATAATAATCTCAAAAGTAATGCCTTGGAGTAGAAAATAGTAATGCTTTATTAAAATTTAAAACTAAAGTACAGTATTTGAATGTGTGTATTGTGTCCATTGTTTGCAAATATTTCTAACTTTTATTTGAATATTCAGTTTCCTACCATCTTCTCTTAAATGGTAATTGCCAGGTATCCCGCCCTTCCCCTTCGCACACACATGCACACAAAGAAAACACACAGTATAATTCACAGCCTCATTATAGTGAATAAATATTTATGCCATTTACACCATCAAACTTAGATTGCTAAGGATAAAGAACCTTTTGTTCTTTAAAGAACCATTTGTAATAGCTGAAGAACCATCCACAAAATAAAAAGGTTCTTTGACGTATGATGGTTCTTTAAAGAACCATGAAGACATCTGAAGAACCATTTAAGAACCATAATTTTTCTGAGTGTAAGGAGGCTGAATTTGAGCTCAAATGTAGGATTCAGCAAGAGCAGATTGAGATGCTCCAGAAACAGCTCCTAGCAGCTCAAAATCAGCTTGAAGAGCAGGCCGTTAAACATAGGCAGGAGCAGGAGACACTCAACCTGGAAATCAGTGACCTGAAATCCCAGCTCTGCCCCAACAAGACCCTTCATGATTTGAAGCTAGAGTCTCTGGAGCGAGAGCTGAAAGGGGCCAAAGCTTCCTCACTTAAAATCCCACAGCAGCACAAAGAACAAAATTCCACTGCTGCAAATGAAATGCACAAATTTGAGCTTCCGAAAGAAAACGAGACTGGAGAACAGGAGAAGATGGAAAAAGAGGACTCACTGCCATCCACTGCAAGGTCTCTGCAGGAGCCTCAGAAAGAAAAAGACACCACAGAACAACAGAAGATAGAAAAAGAAGAGTCAGCTGCATTTTCTGTACAGGAATCTTTGCAAAGTGTACAAGACAAACAGAAAATGCTCAATGTCAAGGTGGCTGAACTCAAGACTGAAGTCAAGAGCCTGCCAGAGATTCCGCCAAGGAAGAAGAAGAACAAGAAGAAGCGGAACTGTGCGCGTCCCCAATTTCACATAATTGGTGTCAACATCAAGTCCTAAAAATCATATTTATGTACAACTAAATTGTCAGTGAACATTTGAACCCCTCTTGGTCAAGACAGAAGGCCACCCCTTCCTGAGCCCGGTTCTGTCAGAGGTTTCTCCCTATTAAGAGGGAGTTTTTCCTCTCCACTGTCGCCAAGTGCTTGCTCATAGGGGATTTGGGGGCTTTTTTTTAACACCAACCACTGAAAAGTTCACTGACATCAAATTTAAGACTCAGCAAATATGGAAATGGATCATTCGTCATCAAGTGAGGAATCATCCATTTAAAACATGTTTGCTGAGTCATATTTAGTTGTATATAAATATGATTTCTGTCACACTAAGGCCAATCACAGACTAATTTGGACAATTGGTAAAAAATAAATAAATTGAAAAAATTGAAAAAAAGTAGTTGTGTCATTGTTTCGTGTAGATTTCAAATAACATGCCATTTTATGTCAACATATTTCTGTTACATTTGTAGTGCTCGTGGTTTTATATTCTTATGATCCTGTTTGTTTGATGAGTATATCCTTCTGCCTTACTTCACATATTTACTGCTGCTTGGCTAGCTTTAGTCATGCTAGCATCAGCACGGGTAGAAACAGATACACATCAGAGACATCACATGTAGCTTGTGTTTATGTTCAGAGTGACATCTGATTTAAAAGGAGGCAGCAAAGCACTGAGCAGCATATCAGTCAGCACAGAAAACAAATGCCATAAATGTCATCAATTAGGCTGGAATAATTTGTTTCTGGTGGCTTCTATTGTAAGTGCTTTACATTTCAGCATGGCATCCTGTATGTGTCCTACACTGAGGACACTTGAAACTGGTCATTTTCTTAGAATGGAGCTAAAGATAAAAACAAAACAAAACCAAACTTTCATAAGAAATCTTTATTCTGCAGTAAGGGACATTAAAAACCTAATAATGTTATCATTAAAAATATTAAAATGTGAAGTAAGAGCAAAATGTATGTTTGATACATTCAGTCATTTCATTTCAGTAGGTAAATAGTGTAAAACATATTTGCTTATATAGGAAATATCTGTTACACAGAGTGGTGATAGCATGACTCGTTCAAGGTAACAGTGAATGAGCAACAACTGGACTTAAATACATAAATAGCCCTTTTTGAACTAGAAGTCATAGTCATACATTTCATTCACACCTAGAGTAGCTTTTATAGTTTTAAGCTGACTGCAGCAAACTGCTGTACTGTCGAGGCTGGTCACACAGCCACAGCTTTATAAACCCTGATGCAGCTTTGTTGTATGCTGATTTGTTGTATGTATTACGTACATATGATTGTATGTGCGTAAATGGCCTAATCGATGCCGTTAGACACACAAATACAGTGGAGCACAAACATGCAACATATGCAACAGATGGTCTGCTGAATGGGCACAACAGAGATGGGGTTTTGTTTGCCTGGAGGTGAAAATAACCGGGTTATAAATCTGTCAAACCAACAGGGAAAACATAAGTGAGGTGTATCAGCTGATGTTGTTTTCAACCAATTCAAAGCACTACAATACCCAGAAATATAAAGGAAAACCTTGAGATGGCATTGAGATACACTCACGGGCATTACTAGATACAGACTCTGGCTACAAATGAGTTCACAAAGGACTGTTCTCTGTATTTTCTAGGAATTCTGCTTCTTTAGAAATCCTTATCATTGTAAAACAAACAAACTAAAAACATTATCAAGAACTGTCCTCTGAAGTTGGCGGAAAAAACAATAGAAATGTTTGGACATTTTTATTTCTCCGTACCGTATAAATTTTAACTGTACAAAAAGAAGCTGTAGCTATGTTTAAACAAAGAACGTGATTTACATTTTACCCTCCAACAAAAGGCTTAAGGACCAAAATAGAGGTGATGACTGTTTTTCACACTGCATATAATGCAAATGTATTTCTTGCCAGTCTGTGGAAACTGCTGCTTTATCAGCAACTTGCTTTCAACCACAAGCAGCTGTTGCTGATTCACTTGACAAATTCTGTTTAAAGTCATGCATGAATGCATGAGGGTGGTGTTTACACATGTAAACGTATATTCAAGTTTTATTGTTTTTCTAAACCATGAAAGGTACAGCTAACTTACAACCTTTACCAAGGTGAATGGTATATTTCTTAATTTTAAAAAAGATGATCCTAACCCATACCAGAGAGTAATTATTTCGCTCCTCATTTTAAAATAATAATAATAATAATCATGTGTTAGCTGTTTTCTTTTTCCCTACATACAATAAATATAAGCATCCCTCCCCTTGCCAACGACAGGTTGACCTTCCCCAGAAGAAAAATCTCCTTTTGAATAAAATGTTTTTAAACCAGGGTGGCATAAGCCAGCTAGGGCTTCCCTGTGCCTTTAAGGTTTCGTCTTTCATACTTTAGTATCATTTAAGTCCAAGAAGCACATGCTTGATTAACTGATCCTAAAGTGCCGATAGGTGTGACTGATCGTCTCTCTCTCTGTCCAGGATTTACCTTGTCTTTTCCCTGAATTGGTAAAGGAAGTGGACAGATGGAATATTTTTAACCAGTTGCTAAAACCAGATACCTGAAGATGGTGGGTTGGCCAATTAACCCAAAAACAAAAGTCAGCAGATGCGATAGTTTTAACATTGTCAGCTGGCCTCTTATATCCACTTTATGTCTCAAATTAAATGTTTTAAACATAAACTGTTAAATTTATGTTCAGAAGATTAAGCATTTTATAACATCACAGTAAATGTAACAGTTATATTTGTATGTATGTTGTTCTGCTTTTAAGTCTAATGTCATTTACAATTCTGTGTCTAAAGGTTCCTGCAGCTTCTAAAGTGGCACCACTAACAGATCAGAATTACCCAAGTTCGTTAAAATAAAATGATCCGCATGGCTGTTCTCCTTTATGTTTCATTAAAGTCTGGTAAAAAGGATTTGTGAGGTTAACCGCAAGTCAGCGACACTATGCGGACAAGAGTGTGATGAATTGAAGCGCTCAGGACCCAAATATGGATACATGGAAATGGGTTAGCCAAACTTAAACTTTAAGCAAGCCTTTAATTTTGTTTGCTGAAAGTCCATAAAGCAAAGTCCACCAGAAAAACAAACAATTCAAAAATGGCTGAAAAAAAAGAAAAGATTTTTAATAGATAGGAATGGCAGGACTACACATGCTAACACGCTGAGGGCTAATGGGAATTAGACACAGCTGGGAGAAAATGAGGTGCCCCAAATTAACACAATCACATGTGAGGGAGTAAAACTCAATATAAGACACAGAAGATAACTAACAAGCAGAATAAAACATGTACAACTAAGAATTCAATACTGAAAACACTAAGAAAATACATGAAGCCTGAAATGTAAACTGTAGACAAGAATCAAACAGAGAATATGTAATAATAAACTCAACGCGTCACGTCTACAGGAGCCAGTGAAACCTGTGCCATGAAGCACAGTTTTTGTGCTGATGTTAATGCCAGAGGAGGTTTAGAGCTCTGCAGTTACCGAGTGAGCAGAGAGTTGGTGACTCACACATCACACACAATCCCCGAGCTCAGTGAGTTCTTCATAATGAATATCAAGGAAAAGTGTTTATACACCAGAATCAAAGATTAGGAGGCGTGGCCAGCATTTTCATCAGCATGCTGTAGTTGTTAGACTTTGTTCTACACTGAAAAAAGTCTAACATGCAGTCATTCATTCAATCTAATAAGTGCCATTCAAAACAGAATAAAATCATTGATTTGATTGTGAAACCCTTTCTTTTTGCATTTTAAAATACCACTTTTGATTTGGATGAAACTAAATATCTGTACAAAGGACACAACGCAAAGTTTTTGATTTCTCTCAAAACATATATTTCTTTTCATGTTGAACAGATAATATCTTTAATTTGAGTCAAAGTGATTTGCACTTGAACACGCCCACCAGAAATAGACCGGGACCCATTTTTATTCTGCATGGCTGCTGGAAACATCGTGTCACATCTTTGATTAATTTCATCTGAAAATAAACGTAAGTAAAGCCAAGTGTGTTACAAAAGCTTTTATAATTTGTATTGCCAAAATTGCAGAAAATAACCCCATTTAAGCTGGGTCGACAGCCACCCCTAATTTTTGCATGATTGTAGCTGCTAGCTACAAGCTAGCTAGCTATCCGGCGCGACGTTAGAACTGGTTACCAGAAACCGACCATCACAGTCAGGAATGCAAGTTAGGCAAAAAGCCGTTTTTTACCAGTATACTAACTAGCTAGCGTTACCACGATGCATCGGTGGTGGATACAGCTAGCTAGCATAAGTTCATAGTTCATAACATTCATAGTATAACTCCGTGCTCCGCTTCGTTTGAATTTTTCTGGTGAGCGCGCGGTTTCTAGACACAAGCTTGTGTTTGTGCGCGCACGTTTGTCTCTCTTCATATAAATATCTGTGTGTTATGTGTGTGTACACCGAGCGCAAAAGATAATTATTAATGTGCATGATTTAGAGACAGAAATAACACGCCAGCATATAAGATCAATGACATAAGACTAATTCCTTCAATTGACTTTCAGGCGCGGCTCGGAAAAAATGTGCATTTTCTGAAGAAATTTTAATTTTAACAGCATTAAATTGACCCTATGCCAAACTTAGTTGCTAATGGCTGGTCTGTAGACTGTTTGGTAAACCTAAATCAAATTATAGTACTAGCTTTTTATAAGGATGTGTATGTCATGTTACGTATTTCTTGGTTTTTCTATGTTATGTGTTTTATAGAGAAGTAACATTATTCTTTTTTTTCTGTATGCTTTCAGAACCACAGATCGCTCCATCCATTCCATGGCTGAAGCATACATTTTCATTTAATCTGAACAGGTATCATTTTGCATTTACACTGCACATCCTTTTTAAACATTTCATAATAATCTAGACCCTCCATCATTATCCTCTCATTCACCTTGCTGATGTGTTGAGGACTTGATAAAAGAATACATGGTATGTCCATATCTGTTCTGTCTCTACATGAGATGCAGTCTCTTGATGTAAATTTGACAACTCTGCTATTAAATGCAATGATTAATGTAGGACAGCAACGATTAATCAACTCATCAAGTTAATATCTTAGGGTTCTGTATTGTTTTCTTTTTTTTCTTGGGCTTTGTGGAACATTTATGAAAATTTTCCACCATTGATTTAATTTAATGATTATGCAATTCACAATCTGATTAGTCAAATAATTGTTCTAATAGTCTGTGACCAAACAACTATCAAAATAGTAGTTTATTATGGTCAAAGATTTATCAGGTGTGCCAGACTTCAGTTCTTCACTTGTACATTTTGTTCCATATTTTACCTCAAGATATCCCAGAAAGATGAAGCTGAGGAAGAGCTGCAGAGTAACCACCATGGCACTCTTCATCTTCAGGGACAACTCAAGCCTCCTACATCAGCGTCGAGACATCGGGATAATCATTGATGGTGTGGAAGTCCTGAATGAGTTGCCTTCTGTGGCAGCTGGAGTGGCAATGGTCTTTGGACTCTGTTATGCTCTTAAAATGGAATATCCACGAGGATTCAGGTTCACCTTTGAGGCTCTTCAAAGATTATGATGGAGCTTGACTTTAACAAGATGACCTCTAAGATTCGCAAACTTAATTGTGAACTTAACACTGCACAGTAGTGTGTTTGCATGCATGTGTGGATGTGTATGTGCACATGCATGTGCATGTGTGCTTGGTTATTTTCTTGGTTGGCCTGCAGTGGTATTCTACATTCAAAAATTATAAGAACACCCATTTGAAAGGGAGAATTAAGTTGATTTCATTGATACATGTGTAGATTTTTTTTTTACATTGTACAGGCACAGTGCACATATAAACATTTTTGAGTACTTGCAAATTGGTTTAAAAAGAGTTTTTATAATGGTTTTATGCCAGTTTTAGACAGGTTGCAGGTTTTATACTGGTTTTCAAAAGGTTGCAGGTTTTATACTGGTTTTCAAAAGGTTGCAGGTTTTATAAAACAAACATTTCTCTAATCATTTCTGCCGTAGCACTAAATCTGTATATTACTAATCCTCTCTATTGATTATAGTTAAAATGGTTTGGAACAATAAATAATTTTGAAATAATTGGTTGGCCAACTGTCTTGTTTTTTATAGGAAATGCAGAGCATTTTTGAACTGAAATAAAATGAAATGTAAAAAATATAGTTTGAATATATGTAAATCAATTACCTGGCTTCAACACAAACATATTAGTTCATGTTAATTTGGTTCGATGTGAATACATTAGGTTGGTTAAATTTCAATATATTAGCTTGGTTCAATAATTAAAATATGGTTCTATGTAAAAAAAAAAAAAATCAATTTGGATCAATGCAAAATTTAAAGTTTCAGTCAAGTCTAGTAATATTGTTTATATCAACATAAAAGTATCAGGTCAAATCAAGTGACTCAATTTGGATTCTCTGAAGCCAAATATTTTGGATGTGACAATTGGACATCATTTTTTTTAATTTGAATAGGGTTATTCTTTTTACAGTGTAATTTATAAAACAAAGACACAAGTCTGCTATGACTATGGATTAAAGAGAGGTAGTAAAAATGTTTACATATTAAAAATAAAAGGCTTCCAGTTAACAGATTCATCTTTACATCTTTAAAATTGCGATAAAACAGGGAAACCATTGGATCTAATGTGAAACATATGAAACATTTCTATTGCATGTCCCAGTCCTAGCTGTGTCTAATATGTTTCACATTAAATCCAAAACACGGTTACATGAGTAGATCTATCAGAATGTGTGAAAGCTTTCATAAAAGACAGCACAGCCTCTCTGAGCAAACACCCAGGCATCACAGGATGTTTGAAATAAATATCTAAAGGGTCACGCTTTCAAAGCGTGGGGCAGCTGCCACGCTTTCATGTGTGGTCCCACCTACGTCACCGCCTGCCCCACACTGCTAGAGTGTGACATTTAGGCCCCTTTGTCTTCTTCTGAGTGGTTTCAGGTCTCTCTCTGCTAATTTTTTTCCTCAGAATCAGTGACAACTGCTGTGATGTGTAGGTGTACCGAGGCAGAGTTAAAGGAACTGGAAATCACAAAGGTGTGACATTAAAGTGAGAGGTCAGCGAGAGATAAGAGGAAGGGGTTCAACAAACCGACACCTTCACTGTTATTTCTTCAAAATATCAAGTGACTCAGCTGCTAAAACCCCGACAGCAAAAAGTCTCCTTTATAAGTAGCTCTATAGATTTATTAGCTTTTTGAGCAACAGACACTTATATGATCCATTGTTTCTCAATGTTTCCTTTGCTAGCTGTGAGACACATTAAGCGAAAACATGCTAGCTTTCCATCTTTGCTTTATCTTTGAATGAAACTTAAAAGTTAAATAAATTATTGTGGGAACTCTGTCGTTTTTAAGTCTAGCTTCTTTACAAATCAAATTGTTACATTTCAGAGCCAAACCAGCTAATTTTGTATTTGTGATAAGCTGAACTAGCTGTTAGCTTGCGTACAGCTGATATTAGACTGGCATCAATGTTCTCAAGCAACTTCTTGTAACACATAGAAGAACGTAGGTTACTGCCGATAAGAATTTGTTATAAAAGCGCTGATTTTTTTTCTCATGCTCTCTCTTTGTGCTCTCCACTAACCTGTATTTAGGTTTTATCCTTGTTCTGATGTGACCTAAAACTTAACCTATGGATTATAAGGATAAAATATTCAAAACCCAACTCAGCATAAGGTGATACAGTTCAGCATTGGCCTCCGGCATAACCATAAACCTGAATTAAAACCTTTACAGAGCAACCACAATGGATCATTTCAATGAGGGTACGATTGTAAGCAGGAATAGAACTAAAGTGAGGGAATCTAACGCTTCTATTTTGTGCTGACAAAATAAATTATGACAGAAGGAAGACTAAGCCTCTGTTTACACTACAAACTTTTCAGACCAGGCAGCTTGAGGCTAAAGTCAAGGACAAGGTTATATGTTAATGAAGCTGAGCACGCACACAACAGGAAACCGGTTAAAGGATGAATAAATCCTATCATATCAAGCATTCGTGTTCAAATGTGAGGAGAGGAAGTGCCCCTCAGACTTTAATGACAAACTAAATATACAGACGCGCTTGTGTCTTTCATAAATCACAGCAACCGGTGAAAACATAACTTTTTTTTTTATAACAATTAGGTGATTATTTTTTATAAAATAGGTGGTTGTCTTGTGGTTTAATCCTGGTATAAATGTGCGAATTTTGGTTTGTTATTGTAGAAACTGAGCAGGTGAAATACCTGTCAAAATATCCCGTCACTGTAGGAATGAAGGGTTTATGATTTTCCTTTAATTAGTCATAGGGTGTCTGAATGAACAGTAAGAGGCTGCTAACAACATTGCTTGTCCCCATGGTGATAAATTGAGCATTGCATGAACAGAAGAGATGAGGCGTAATGGACGGTGACTATGGCATGGCACCTTTCATTAGTGCGTGCACAAAAATCAGAGGATGCAGAGGAAGTAATTTGAATAAAAGCTTGTCAGTGAAGGTCATTATCATCAGGAGAGTTGAACACAAACAGCTCCGGTCTAATCAGTGTCTGATGAGGCCATGTTCAGTTTGTGGAAGTCTGCTGCCTCCCTCATCTCCTGGTTTTATTAGTGAGGGAACACAGAGGTGAGACATTCTTCTTTATAACGTCGCTTCACTTTGTTGAGGTTTTCATTTATGGCCCGCAGTCTTAAGATCCCACAAGAACATTTCAATCAGGCTGAGTTCTGGACTTTTGCTGGGCTACTGCAACACCTTGATTATTTTCTTTATCAGTAATTCTGTTGCAGATTTGCTGCTGTACTTGGAATCTTTGTCCCATTGGATGACCAAATTTAGGCCAAGCTTTAGCTGTCAGACAGATGTCCTCACATTTGACTCCAGAGCACTTTGGTACAGAGGAGGAGTTTGTGATTGACTCAATGACTGCGAGGTGCACAGGTCCTGCGGCTGCAAAACAAGCCCAAATCATTACACCTCCACCACTGTGCTTCACTGTTGGTACGAGGTGTGTGGGCTAACATGCTGTGGATATTGTTCTGGAAGCCTTGTGGTTTGTTGGGATGCAGCTTTGCATACTTAAGTCTAGCTGGCATGTTCTTTCTAGAGGTAAGAGGCTTTCTCTTGGTAGTCGTTCAAAATAAGCAACACTTGTCGAGTCGTTTGTATAGTTTCTTTAAGAACTTTAACATTTAACTGAGGCCTGTAGAGTCTGAGGTGTAGCACTTGGGTTTTTCTGTATCTCTGAGTATTGTATGGTCATTGATCTTGGGGTCAATTTACTGGCCTTATAAAACTTCCCCAGACCACAAAACCTAAAGAGGGTGTACTTTCTTTTTACCGTGACTGTGGGAAGTTAGACATTTTCTGCAGCAGTTGGTGGGGACCAAAAGTAGAGCTAAAAGTGAGATACTGTAACTAATACTGTAACTAAAAACTTTATATTACCCACAAGCTTCCACGGACATTCTTAAACTTCACAACAATATATTAGGCCTCAGGGGACACGTGTACCTGGGCTGGCTAAGCATTCGACCTTGACCTTCATTGTAATTTGACCTTGAAACCATTTCGAGTAATCTCAAAAGGTTGATTCTATTCATCTGGACATAGCGTTTTCAGTGGGAGAAACATTTCATCACTTATCCACAGCTTCACTGTGCTAATGTGAAATCCCTCAGTCAGAACATGGTATATCATCTTTAGATGGAAACTAGTGAACTCTAACTTTTCATGGATGCCTGGATGTTTAACTTCATATACTGTATTACACCTGATAGAGCAGCCACACTGACCATTTTATTACAGATGAAACGATGTAGACAGTTTGTAACGCTAAGTGTTGCCACAGTGTTTATTTTTCTTTGGGACATGAAGCGAAGTTTGGACCCAGAAACAGCTAATGACATCAGACTTAAAGACTGGATAATTAAAACATTCTGATGTCAGGAAGTTGTAATAAAAACATCATAAAATATCAAAGTATTAGTACAGCCCTCATTCTTAGGGGGATTTACACTCTTTGAATACTCTTCTTCAGTGCTATTTTAAATAATTCTCATTATTTATGCTCCTGCTCTTTTTATTGGCACACTCTTACACCTTCCTTTTGGCCTCTTGCATCAGCTTAGTTTAGCTTGTTATCGCTTTCTGTTTTGCACTACGGTGCTTTTGAAGCTAATGGGAATCTTGCAAGTTTAGCCATTTAAAAAAACATTTTTTAATTGTTAGTTGTAGCCACTAACAGTGTAGCAGGCAAAGACAAAGACACACATGCATAAACGCACACACAACTCTTTGTACTGAAACCCTCACAGACACTTAACCTCAGCTGATTCACCTCGAGGATATGCATTTTTTGTCTTTAATGAATTCAGTTCCTGATCTCGTACTGGCTTCTAACCAGCTGCTGGCAAGTCAACACAGTAAGCGCTACGTGGAGCAACGAGCATTCTCAGAAATTTATATCATGGGGACTGACAGTTTTCAGGCAGATGCGAGATTG